CCTAAATAACAAAATCAACTCAAAATCTTTGGCTCAAAACGAGCAAAATATTTGAAGGGAGTGTTACTTTTACTTATTTCCTTGTCCTTTGTTCGGAAATAACGGAATCAAGTCAACATATTTCCTTCGAATTCAGCAAAATATCTGAATAGAGTGTTTGTCTCAATTATTCCTTCGTTGCTTTTTCTTCAACAACAAAATCACATCCAAATCATTGGTTCGAAGCGAGCAACATATTTGCAAAGAGTGCTTGTTTGGATTATTCCTTTGTTATTTCTTCCGAAACAACAGAATCAACTCAGAATGTGCGCTCCGAATCGAGGAAAATATGTGACTAGAGAGCGACGCTTTGAATGATTCCTTACCTGTTTCTTCGTAGATAACAGAATCAAGTTCAAATCTTTGATTCCAATGGACCAAATTATTTCAATACAGTGCTAATTTGAATTATTCATTGCTTCACTGTTCATAAATAATATTATTAACTCACACTCTTTGTTTCGAAATGAGCCAAATTGTTGAATATAGTGTTGGTTTGAGTTATTCCTTTGTTGTTTGCTCCTTAAAATCAAAATCATATCAAAATCTAATGTTGAAATCGCGAAAGATATTTGAATAGACTATTAATTTGAATTATTCATTTGTTGTTGCTTCGTAAAGAACAAAATGAACTGAAAAATCCTGACTACCAATTGAACAAAATATTTCAACGAAGTATTCCTTTCCATCATTCCTTTGTTGTTTGCTAGTCCATACCAAAATCAAGTGAAAACTTTTGCTTCGATTCGAGGATAATATCTGCATAGAGCGTTGTTTTTAATTATTCCTTGGTTGTTTTCTCCTTATGCATACGACAAACCTCCTATCTTTCATTTAAATCCAGGGCAATATTTGAAAAAGGTGTTGGTTCCATTTATTCGTTTCTTCTTTGAACTTATACATCAACATGAAGTCAAAATGTTTGGTTCGACAAGAGGAAAAATATTAAAATAGAGTGTTTGTTAGAATGATTCCTTTCTTATTTGTTCGGAAGTAACAAAGTAAACTCAAAATGGTTGGTTCAAATACGAGGAAGCTTCGAATAGACTGTTGCTTTGAATTATTTCTTTATTACTTGTTCGGAAACAACAAAATCGATACCAAGTGTTTGCTTTCAATAGACTGAAACGTTTGAATACATTATTCCTGCGAATTATTTCTTTCTTTAGTGGTCCTCAACGACATAGTGAGCTGAAAATCTATCGTTCGAATGCAATCATATATTTTTACTGTGTGTTGCTTTGAGTTATTCATTTGTGCTCTCCTCGATAATAACACAAACAACTGAAAATGTTTGGTTGTAGTCCACCAAACTATTTCAATATAGTGTTGGTTTGAAGTATTCTACTGTTGTTTCCTCGTAGATATGGAAATCTAATGAACGTTTTTCGTTCGAATGAAGCAAAATATTTGAGTAAAGTTTTTTTTCAGTTATCCCTTTGTTATTTGCTCGTAAAGAACAAATTCGCGTCAAAATGTTTGACACATATTGAGTAAAATATTAGAGCAGAGTGCCACTTCTAATAGTTTCATTGTTGTTTGTTCGTAAACAACAAAGTTAACTAAGAATCGTCGATATAAATCGAGGGAAATATTTGAACCGAGTGTTTGTGCAACTATTTCTTTCTTCTTTGTTTATAAATAACAACATCAACTAGGAATGTTTCGTTGGACGCGAGGAAAATATTTGAAAAGAGTACTTGTTGCAATTATTTCTTTCTTATTTTTTTCGAAAGAACAGAATGAACTCAGAATCTGCGCTCCAAATCGAGGAAAATATGTGACTAGAGTGTTTCTTTGGATCATTCCTTTCCTGTGTGCTCGTATATAACACAATCAGGTCCAAATCTTTGATTGCAATGGAACAAATCATTTCAATACAGTGTTGGTTTGAATTATTCCTTTGTTGTTTTCTCCTTATGCATACGAGTAACCTCATATCTTTCATTTAAATCCAGGGCAATATTTGAAAACGGTGTTGGTTCCATTTATTCCTTTCTTCTTTGAACATAAACATCAACATGAAGTGAAAACGTT